ACGCCAATGAATAAATTAGACAAGAAATCCTTTGAGAACGCATTTATTAATAAGAATATAGGATGGAAAAATGTATAAGCTCAAAAACATGTTTCAACATTAAATTCCTGTGTTAAGAACCAATTTGACCATATGTTAACATTTTGCTATTCACAACTACATACCTGTACATCAAATTGCTCAGAGTCATTATTTTGTGCACTAGGTAGACATTTAGTATTATAGTTTTTCTATTTATCAATTTGATCATATGTTAACATTTTGCTATTCACAACTACATACCCGTACTTCAAATTGCTCAAAGTCATTATTTCATGCACTAGGTAGACATTTAGTATTGTATTTTTTTCTATTCATCACACAGATATAAGCTTTGCTGAGAAGGCTACCATTTGTTGACCTTTCCTAGTGAGAATCTTCGAAGCCATTAGCAAAAATGAAGCTCTTCGACTGGTCATCTGTGCTGGATTTGAAAGAACTATTCTATTTAATCCCACAATCTTGCAAATTGCTACTCTTCCAGTCTTTTGAAAGTTCCTGTGGAATATGATCCCCTCATTCTTTCAAACAGTGTATTCCAAATGTCAGAAACCTTTTCTGTGAAGAAATATTTCCTTATTTTTCCTTTAGACTTAAAAAAAAGGCAAAATAACTACACCCCTGGTTGTGCAAGAACTTATTAGAAGGAAGTTTCTGTTTTCTGGCCCTTCCAAAACTGCTATTGGAAGGAGAGTAGTCCTTATAGCAGTGAAGTTTAAGAGGATACCAAGTAGCTACTCTTGATATGATGCTGGGCCATTTTATTAAACTACTGTGGTGTTCAAATACTCTGACAATGCAGTCAGGCAGGGAATTGTAGGATTTTCATACAGTGACGGTAAAGGAAGTCACATTACATCCAAATCATGGCAGTGTATAACTTGGAAGTGGAAAATGGAAATAATAGTGTGCTCCTGCGACAGCTGCCCTCACTTTGAACACTTGGAAAATTAATAATGAAAACATTTTTTCAGTGCATATTTTCTATTAGTTCATACGTAGATTTCTGTGCCACATTAAAATATGCACAAAGAAATAAATGTCTTAGCAAAGTAAAGAGAAATTCAAAAGAACAAAAAATATATAATTTATAATGTGTGTAGCCAAGTATAATTAATCTTTCTTGTGTCTGAATGTCTTCATTATCATTTTTACCTAGTGACCCCAGTTCCTTTGAAATGTCTGGGGAATCAATTGATATTCTTTGCAGAAGCTATCACTGCAGCTACACCTGTATCTACAATTCTCAAAGGCCTGGATAAGTGCGCTGTGGAGAATTCAAATCATGACTTATCACAGCACAACTTGCTTAGTAATGACAGGAGAACAATGCACTTGTGGTTACCTTTACTTTATAGGAGGAGGTTGAGTGAGGCAAAAGTTTAGCAGGAGGGATTGAGACCACGGCAAATAAAATTAGAGAAGGTAACCTCATTTGAAAAGCTAGCAACAGTACGAAGATAATGGGTTAAGGATGTGGTTCATAGTTATTATTGTTGTGATTCTATAATGAGGAATTTGCTTTGAGCTACATTTATTGTTGCCACTATAACTTCCAGCCCGTTTTATCCAAAGCTTCTGCTGCACTACCAGCAAAGTTAATAGTGGCAGACCTACAAGGTTATAATCAGCTATCAAAATAACGATGAGGCTAATGGCATTCATCATTGCTTATACACTAATATTACAGCAAGCAAAAGGCAGTGGTGTGCTTAAATACAGAAATCCAGAAGTTACTCTCTGAAACATCTGCCAGTAGTTTTAAGAAAATATCATCTTGCTGTCTGAACGGGCTGACTTTGAAGCATATCCAGAGCAGATCTGAACGGAACTTGCTACAGAAGGTTCAGCCTTGTTTGTTTCAGTTCAAGTGCCTTTTTAAGACTAAATGTGTTACATACACAGTCAAGTTTCCTGGCACTGAAATGTAGTGATTATAAAAGTATGGTTTAATTCTCTCGGTTTTTAATTGTTGGTAGATATGATAAAAATATGAAGTTTACACTTGCTGCAACTTTATCAATCTTCACTTTTAAACACCTTATGGTACAAAATTTCAGCGTGATTAGACAAATGGTTGTGAATCCAGCTAATGGGGGATAATGTTTGTTGCATTTCTACTGCAATTAGCAATTTCTATGTGAGGTTATATATTCTTTTAAAGTCTATTAAAAAAATGTTCAAGTTTAACTAATTGCATCAAGCCTTACTTCACTCTCCTGTTTGAGTAATTATGTGAAAACTACAGAAAATTTTCTAGATTTCTGTTTGATGCCTTATACACAGAAGTAAATTATCTACAGTACGTGACTGCAGAAAATAACTTGTGTAATTTACAAGCTTATTAGCAGAGAGCTTTATACGAGCTAACAAATATTTTCAAGTACATTGTGCACTTTTCTTTTTCTGCAATTTTGCAGTTTATCCTGTGTGCCTCATCAAAGTTAGATAGTTTGCCTTGAATTATTATCACCAGGTAATGACTGTTGTAACAGCAATTGTAAAATGGATGCAACAATTCAAGAGGAACTCAAGCCACTTCTAATTTTATAATTCTTGTAGTTTGTGGGAAGGAGATTGTAAGCATTTTTAACCAAACATGTAGAAAAGATAAACTGTGCTTTATGTATTCTTTATACATTGCTGACATCTAATTGTGTGCACCAGAATGATTTGTTATTGAAATGCCATTTTATTTGGTAAGCATACATACTGAGATGAAACAAACAGATCATTGAGAAGACCTAAGACTTAACTGGTTTCTCCTGTGTTACTGTGCAACATTCCAAGGAGACTTTCTACTACGTGCAGAAACACAACTGTGAAATCAATTGTAAGGTATTTAAGAGCAACGTAAGATAACTCCGTATCACCCTTCTTCGTAGGGAAACGTCTGGTCTTGTTGAGCAATCTTTCCTCTATAATGGCACGGCTAAAATGATAATTGTACCAACCCCTACCTGGACATTCCCTACTAACCTCACAGCCACCTGAACATTCCTGACCCTCCAAAAGTATGTGGTTTTTTAATATCCAATCAGGGTCAGAATTCAGGCCATATTTCAAGAATCATTTTATGTAATCTTCCAAGGTTGACTGTAATGAAATACATAGAAGAACTGGTAATTCAAAACAGAATTTCTTTCGTAGCATCTATCTTATTCGCACAGTAGGCAATCTTGAAGCTAATATGCAAGAGTTTAATTTAAATATCAAACTGAATTTAAATTAAGATTCGGAACAATTTACCATTATGACTAGATTATGTTGTGCATTCTGTGCAACACAAAGGGCAGTTCGAGTTATATTGAAGTTCATAAAGGAACAGTTGTGTTTCTAAGAAAAGATTTTGGCTTTTCTGTACCTTTCAGTTTCTCTTTGCCTTTTTAAAAGGCTATGTTAGCTTTATGACCATGATGTTGTTTACAGATGTGTTCCTTGCTTTCAGGTATGTAGGGCATTATTAGTAATGTACATTGAGAACACTTGCTGTGTAGTCAATAGGGCAGATAATTTTACTAAGTGACAAATGTTATACATTAAGAGTTTTTGGTAGAGTAATGGAGGTAAAAACCCTGCAATTACTTAACAATAAATTGATGCTGCAGTGGAAGGAGTTTGAAGCCAGTCAAGATGGATGAACTACGTATGGTTAAGTGGATTTTTAACAATTACCATGCCATACAAGTGAAATGTTCTCAAGACTACTTAAAAACAAGCAATTTTTTTTAAAAAGGCAAAGAGAAACTGAAAGGTACAGAAAAGCCAAAATCTTTTCTTAGAAACACAACTGTTCCTTTATGAACTTCAATATAACTTGAACTGCCCTTTGTGTTGCACAGAATGCACAACATAATCTGGCCAAAATGGTAAATCGTTCGGAATCTTAATTTAAATTCAGTTTGAAATTTAAATTAAACTTTTGCATATTAGCTTCAAGGTTGCCTACTGTGCGAATAAGATAGATGCTACGAAAGAAATTCTGTTTTGAATTACCAGTTCTTCTATGTATTTCATTACAGTCAACCTTGGAAGATTACATAAAATGATTCTTGAAATATGGCCTGAATTCTGACCCTGATTGGATATTAAAAAACCACATACTTTTGGAGGGTCAGGAATGTTCAGGTGGCTGTGAGGTTAGTAGGGAATGTCCAGGTAAGAGTTTTCAGGATGTGGGTGCTGGGGTCCAGGGTGGTGGATTAGGTATCCATGTAAGATTTGGGGGATATCAATGGTGCGTTAATTGGGTGGGGGAGATTAATAGTCAGCCACATTTAGAGCAAGTTTTAATTGTCTTACCTTTTGCGGGTTGCTATTAACTCAAGTCATTTGGAACCTTATGAAATCTACAACTCTAACTTTTCTAAGAGATTTTTTCTAGAAGGTTCCAAGTGCTAGGTAATTCCTGAAAGTCAGCTGCATCAGGATTTCTGTGTTGTCGCAATGTGAAACATTTATCTGTGCTACTACAATAATGACCTACTAATGCAAGAACTGCCTGGAAACGATTTTTACTAGAATTATTGTAATACATTACATTATAGAATATTAGTATTTTTGCACTTTATTTCTGGAGGTAAAGCCACCTTTGTTCACATTTTTAAAATTCTAAAATTGAGTTTTGGAAAAAATGTGATTTATTCTGTCATAATATACATGATTTATTTTTATGAGCGGTGTAAAATTAAAATGTAATGGCCTATTTGCAATATCATAGTTCAGTCTGATATTGTAAGTTTTTAATTGCTAGCCAGAGATGTTATTTCCCCATAATTAATATCAGCATTTTGTTTTATTCAATAATGTTTATATTTACATGAAGTCCATTTCCTACTTTTATGCTGATTCAGAATCTTTAAACAACATATCCAAACCAATTTCTTCCATTTCCAAGATTCTGTAAGCACACTTTAATGAGTCAAAAGTTTTGAAAATAATTCTGGAAAATGTTTTCCTAGGTTCTGTATATGAAATGCATGGACATGAGTGTTGCCTGGCTACTGGAGAAGTAATTAAAGTCATTGGTTTCAAAATCGCAAAAATTAATGTAGAAAGTTGTGATGGTACTGAAAGCAATGATTTCACAAATACCGTGGAGTTACCACTGGACTACCCAGGTATTTTTGTATTTCACTTGTATATTTTATGGTCACCTCCAAAATTCTATGGGTGGATTTTTCCCCTTCCTGGTGTGGTGTGAGCAATGGTGAGAAAGATGGGAAAATATGTAGAAAATAAAAAAAATCTGTATCTCAGCATTGAGAAACTTTTTGTGATTTTCTGCTCAAGCCTTAAGTGGAAGTGCAATCCATTACTACTTTCTGAGTGAAAAAGCTTTTTCTCACATCATCCTGGCTTCTTTTGCACACCACTTTAAATCTATGCCCTGCATTCTTGTTCCATTTACAATTGGAAACCACTTCCACCAACTACACTGTCTAGCCTGCTCATGATTTGTAAACATGAAGTAGATTTTCTCGCAGTCTTCTTCTTTCCAAGAAGAAATGTCCCATTTTCATCAATCTGTCCTCATAAGTGACATTTCTTATACCTGGAACCATCACATTAAGTTGCTTCTGCACTCTCTCCAATGCATTCATATCTTTCCTATAATTCGGCACCCACAACTGTACCCAATGCTCTAGTTGAGTTCTAACAAGTGTCTTGTACAAGTTCAATATCACCTCCTCGCACTTGTGCTTTATGCTGCTATCACTAATGCCAAGAACGCTGTATGCTTTATTCACTGCTGTCTCCATCTGCCCTGCCACCTTCAATGATCCTTGCAAATAAACATCCAGGTCCCTCTGCCCCTGCACCCCTTTAGAACTGTACCCCTTATTTTATACTCTTTCAGTATTTTTACTGTTTATTTTGATTTATTTCACTGTTTTTATTTTATATTTCAGTGTTCTTCCAACCAAAGTACATCACTGCCACCTATCCACCCAGTCCACCAACTCCTTTTGGAGTTCTGTACTGTCCTCTTCTCAGTTTATAGTTCTTCCAAGTTTAGTGTCATCTGGAAACTTTGAAATTGTCCCCTGCCAACCAAGATCCAAATACATCAGGAAAGCAAGGGTCCCAATAATGACCCTGGTCAACTCCACTACAAACCTTCCTCCAGTCCAAAAACAATCCGTTGACCATTATTTTCTGTTTCCTATCATACAGCCAAGTGTGTATCTGCATTGCTACTGTCCCTTTTATTCCATGACCTATAAGTGTCAGCAAGTCTTTTGTGTGGCCACTGTATCAAATGCCTTCTGGAAATCCATGTGTACTACATCAACAGCTTTACCCTCATTCACTATTTCTGTTACCTCTTCAAAAATCTCCAGCAAATTACTTAAACGCAATTTCCTCTTTAGAAATCCATGCTGACTCTTCCAAACCAACCCACTTTTTTTCCCATGTGATTACTAATTCTATAACTAATAATTGTTGCTAGAAAATTCCCCTCCATCAAAGTTAAACTAACTGGTCTGTAATTGCCGGAGTTATCCTTACAACTTTTCTTGAACTAGGCTGTAATGTTTGCAATTCTCCAGTTTTCTGGCACTTTCTCTGAGTCAGGGGAAGATTGAAAAATTATGGTCACTGTTGCTGTAATTTCTACTTCCTTCCAAATCCTTTGATGCATATTATCCAATCCCTAGTGCCTTGTCTACATTAAGTGCCAATATTCTATCCAAGGCTTCTTCCTTATTACTTTTGAACTCCTATAGTGACAGACTTTCTCCATCTGTCACCATGGTCTGGATAGCATCCTCCACTTTTATAAAGACAACTGCAAAGCATTCATTTAAAACATCAGCTATGTGCCTTTCTTCATTTGTAAATTCCCTTTTAGGTCTCTGATCATCCCTATTCTTCCTCTAACCACTCTCTTACTCTTTATATGCCTATAGAAGAGTTTGGAATTTCCCTTTGTATTAGCTGCTCATCCTTTCATTGTTACTCTTTGTTTCTCTTATTTGCTTTTTCACACCTCCAGCCCCACTCCCTCAAACCTTTGGGATTCCTGTTGATTCCCAATTGCACCTACCTTTTATATCATCTGGAGAACTCTGGATTTGTTCGTCCTACCATTTCCCTGATAGGGAATATACTTCAACTGTAACTGAATCACCTGCTGTTTGAAAGTGGCCCATCATTTGGCTCCTCTTTTTCATTAAAACCTCTTGTTTTGGTAAACCCTACTCTTCAGTCAGCTCTGTTCTATCCCCTTAAAGTCAGTTGTCTGCCGATTGATTTTTCTTACTCTAGATTGTAGCATGTCATTTTCCAACACCATCCCGAACCTTCTGATACAATGTCACTGTCTCCTACATGTTAACACCTCCGAACCATGGCAGACTGGGCACCAAGAATCTCACTTGACACAACATTTTGACTGAAAATGGCTAATCTCCACTCCTGTACTGTACACTGAAATTAACTAGTCCTTTTCACTTGTCACCCTTTGTCTCCTGACTTTCGTCAACTCTTGGTTTGCAAGACTTCAGTTTTCTTACATTTGTTTTCCAATCCCTGCATAGCCTAAACAATCCTCCCTTGGTGACCTCCTCCAACTCCACAACACCCTAGGATACCTGCAATGTTCCAGTTTGGTCCTTTATTCCTCCCCAGGTTTAATCATTTAACTGCTGACACCTCATTCTGGTCTTAAGATGCTTCTGGTTAAGCTTTTAATCATGTTTTCCTTTTATGACTCTGTAAATTTTTGTTTGATAAGACCTCAAGAAGCATTTTGGGATGTTTTACCAGATTAAGTAAATTTGGTGTAATTTGCACATGTATATGAGCAAGTACATCACATTTTAGACAAAAAGAAGTCAGTATCCCATATACTATTACATACTATTTCCACAAAAAAAAGTGATTGTGAAACATTTCTAAAACCCCACTTCTGCTCTAACTATGAGAAAAATGTTGGTAAATGTAGTTTGTTGAATGAAGTGCAACTTGCACAGAAAAACTTGAATTCAATTGTACTGATTTTATAACAAGATGTATAACATTCAGAATCATAAAAATGCTGTCAAAGTCTGCATTTGGACTGTTGTGCAAATATTTGGGCATGCAACAATGATTAGTATGATGCGAATGATGATTTAGTTTACACAATGTCTTAAAATGTTTTGGCTGTAATCTATAATTAGTGAACAACTAAAATAATGAATTCAAAATTGGTATGTTTAATATAGCAACAATTTATGCATAACAGTAGTGTTTTAAATTTTGCTTCAAATCGTAATTAATACCCATTACATTGATCTGATCTGATCTGGGTCTACATGGAAATTCAAGCAAAGTTGCACCAATATGTGAGATCATCTATATATGTTTGCTGCAACATCTAATGCACGTGAAGGAAAGAAACTCATAAATCATTTCAGTTATACCATGCTTTTGGATATAAAAGTTAACATGTAACATTTAACTTTGAATGATTCTTGCATCAGGTTTCTTCAAGGTTCTTGCTGACCCATGCCCCTATGGTTGTATTGGTGATATTACAAAGTCAGTACGAATTGGGCATAACCGTTTGGGCCACCCTCACTTTTGCAGCAATGTGGATATTCAGGTGGATGACATCTTAATAAGCGAACACGAACATATAGTGATAAACTCTCTGGCCGAAGTGGATGGAGAGCAGTATGTGATTTGTACTGTTAACAGAGGAGATAAAAATGAGACAGTAAGGCTTCCATTGTCATATGAAGGAACATTTTACGAATGCGAAGATGACCAGTTTTATACACTGAAGGAGATTATAGAATGGAAGTTGCCTAAACACCGGAGGCGAGTTGTGAAGCTAGCAAAAACATTAATTGCTTGGGAACCAAATCCTTATAATGAGTATCTTCAAAATGACCTGAGCCTGGTGCCTGTGTATGAAATACAAGCAGTGATGAAATGTAAGCAAAACTTTGTATTTTTTGTCCATTATCTTCTAGTTATTATGTCAAACAAATGGTTGGAGATTTTCTGCTTTTGCACTTGCCCCCCTGCAATTTAGAGATCAGTATGATGAACAGACAGAAAATGTGGGTTAAGAATGAGAAAAAGGAAAATACTGACCAATTTGTTAGTGGTTTATCACAGTCATTCTGTTACAAAATCATAAGTGAACACTTGCTATAACAAAGGTCAGTTGTAATGTAGGATGGAGTGTCCAAGCAAAATCTAAAATCTGCTCTCGACAAAAAGAACAGTGTAGACATTTAAGATGGACAAAGTTAGTGGAATCTCTGCTGTTTCCATTCTCAATTTAAAAGAAGGTAATTACTAATCAGGCAAGCATTAAAAATTTGTAGAATTTCATAAGTGCTTTGCTGAGATCCTTCCCCCACATATAGATTTTGGGTCATCTAACAAATGCAACTTAATAAATTTTTAAAAATTTAAATGGTGCACAGCTCATTCTGGTCACCTATATGAATCTTGATTTATCTGAACCCGTTTTCAAATAAACCTACAATCTACGCATGAGCTTGCTTGACCTTGCATGATCTTTGGATCTTCAGTAATTCCCAGTTACTGGTTCATTTGTGAATGGGTAACTACTTTCTATGCTTTGTACTCTGAACTCAAAGCAGTACCCACTAGGAGCAGAAGTTCAGGATTATGCTCACAGACGTGCTGTAACTTTTTGTCTGGTACAAGTATAGGAGTAATTCCTCAAGTTCCCGCAGGCAAACCTGCATCCTTGTGTTAACTTGGAGATGCAGACGTTGAAAGTTCAATAAATGTATATTTGATATCTAGATCTGTGATTTATTTATGTAAAGATGAGTCAAAAGAATAAGATTAGTGTTGCAATGATTCTCGCTTTGGAAAGCAGGAAAATTGCAGGAAGAAATTGTAGATTAAATGTAACACCGTGGCTGCACAGAGCAGCTAAGTAGAATTTGACAAGTTGTTCCACATGTGACCATTTTGTTTTAAGGTCATTTATTTCCCACCAGTGTCAGGGCACAAATATCACATTTTATCCCCATTTTTATCTTATGATTCACACATCTGTCACTTGCTACCATAAAAGATTTTCAGCAATTGTAGAAACTATGTGTAGAAAGAGAGAAAAAGTGAAGCTGAATAAAGAACAACAAAGTAACCAGTAGTTATGCAGGGGAGTATCAATGTTTTGAAGTGGCAATGCTCAAGTTCAATACCTGTGGTTCTGTTTTTATTCTATTAGTTGTATTTTAAAAGTGGAAAGGTATTTAGTGGGCAAGGGAAGTGTTGCTTTGGAAAACCTTTGCATTGTTGTTGTGCATCTGCCAGCATCAGCAGTTGTCCATTTGGCTTCTGCTGCATGTTTCAGAGAAAGAAAATAGAGGTGTTGGGAAGGGTGTAATTAAAATGTGGCTTCTAGAATGCACTTCTTGAATCCAAAATGTGACAAATAATCTTGTGTGTTTCAGTGAAGATGAAAAACTGATTTTTTTTCTCTTAATTATTTCCTTCAGTCCGAAAGGAAATTGTACACATACCATCTAACCTTGATGTAGAGGTTGTAGATGTGACAGAACTTTATGATGTTAACTCCTTTGTACAGCCTCTGTCATTAATTGACGTTTTTAAAAGACCAGATGAAGACTTCCCCATGTTGGCTGAAATAATTGAGTGCCCTGACCACCAGCACATTTACAATTCCCTGAAAGCAGGAAGAGTAATAGTTATTCACGAGAAACACTTTGCCAAGAAAGCGATTGCATCTGAGAACAGGAGCGATTTGAATAAAAAGCACTTTTTAATTCCTAAAACCTACAAAGGACGATTCAAAAGAAGACCGAGAGAGTTCCCTACAGTGTATGATCTGAAGCTTGCTATAAACAGCAATGACCACTTGCATGTTATTGCAACAAAGATGTTTGAATCTGATTATGCAGAGTTTTCACCTGTGGAAGTGGGTGACCAATTTCTCGTTTATCAATGCCAGAGCATTGAAGTCAGCTGTGAAGGAGATAAACGGATAGTTGAAGCACTGGCTTGTGAAAAAATTGTGGGAAAAGACTATGAACAAGTCCTTCTTCCTACATACATGGAAGGAAGCTTTGTTGAAGTCATCCATGATAAAAAGCAATACAATATTTCTGACATTTGCGAACATTTTAGCCTTCCCTTTAATGTTAAAGTATCCGTAAGAGATTTGTCAATCAATGACAATTTGGCAGCCTTGCCTTCATTACGAATTGAGGAAGAAATTGTGGATCCATGCTTACTGGTGAGCATGCTGGACAATCCATCAGAATGTTTCAAAATTCCAGTTCACAGAGTAAATCTGTCTGTACAAGTGTTACAGGAGCCAGCAGTAAATGTTCCATGTTCTACTCCGAAAACCATTGTCGAAGAGATCAGCGAAGACTTGTATTACATGATGCGGAGATATGAAAATTCCACATTGCATCCTCCTCCCCGTCCTCCAAAGAAACCTCAGTCACCTATATCATCAACAAAAACATTGAGGCTGTATCCACCTCAACCTCGAAAACTGAACCCCCATAAGTCTCCAAAGGTAAGGCAATTCTTCCTATCAAAGAGGGACAGCAATATTGAGGATTTAAAATTGTTTACACGAAGCAGTCACTTCCATTTAAAAGCAAAAGCAATGAAAATCCAAACCTTTAAAATGACTGGAGTGGAGTACGTCATGTTGGTGTGCCAGTGTCTTTCCACAGAAGGCCATTAGAAAAAACAGCTTGGCTGAGAAAGTCTGTTAATTATGTAGTTGAGACGTACAGAGTAGAAAGATCCCAAGGGGTGAGTCAGGGCAGAATGATAATGAAAGTACCACGGTCTGAGAGTCTTGTTTCTCAGGAGAAGCAAAGCTCAGTAATTATTCTGGATTTCTACTCAGAAAAATGATTTTGGAAGTGTATTTGGCCAGCTATGGGGCAAGGAGGGTCTTTACCGCCTCATCCCTCACCCACCTGTTGAGTAGCTTTATCTCAGTGAAAGGTGTAAAATTCTCAGAGGAGTTGACAGGATAGATGTGAGAGGATGATTCCCCAGACTGTAGCGTTTGGAAGCAGGAGTCATAGTCTCAAGGTCAGGAGGAGGTAATTTAGGACTGAGATAAAGATTTTTTTTTCACTAAGAGTGATGTAAATCTTTGGATTTCTCTACCCTAGTGATGTATGGAAACTTGATCAAAGAGTATATTCAGACTGGGATTGATTTTATTTTGGACATGAAGGGAATTGCAGGACACAAGGATAAAGCAGGAAAGTTCAGCCATCATGTTACTGAATGGTGAACAGGCTGGGGGAACCATCTGGCCTATAGCTGCAGAGAATTTCTGTTTTCTTGCAGAAGTCAAAGCTTGAGTAATTGTTACTTGGGTAAAGTAGAGGAGGGTTTGTGGAACATACCTAGCAATGTGTTCAGTAGGGAGGGAGGACAATTTACGGTTGTGGGGATGATAGTTGAAATCGTAACTCAAACACAAGATTGTCTTTGGAAAGCTTATAAAACATGTGTTGAATCGAAAGTGTTGTGTGGAGGATATTTTTTGGTATTTGCTGGTATTTGGTTTTTTTTCTTTAGTTCAAGAAGCCAGAAATAAATTGTTTTAGTGTGACAATATTTTATATTGCAGTTACTATATTTATAAAATATGTGAAGAACACGCTCCCATTTCTTAAATAATTATATAGCTTTTAATATATTAAGCTGTACTAAGAACAAAGCATAATGCAATTACATAGGGCAGAATTGAATGGTTAGTTCGGGGGTGAGGGGAGCCCATCCTCAATTTGGAACCAGTTAGAACCTCACCATGGTCATTTTCTGGATGTCTGATGGGATTGAATCAGGTGCTCACCTGTCGTTGCATTTCCAACTCCTGTAAGGAGAATTTCACCCTGGAAACCCTGTTGTGGGGTGGCAGAAGCCAGCAGTGCTCTATTATCAACAGTGCCACCAGTAGTGGTGGCTACAGCTGGTATTACAATTCAGCTTAGACCAGGTATCAATGATGGAGCAAAAGGAAAAGGTATTTGGAGAGGTTGCATCAGGACCCAAAAGGGAGATTTAATTGAATTAAATGATTTTTTTTATTCACTCGTGGGATGTGGGTATTGCTGGCTGGCCAGCATTTATTGCCTGAGATAGTAAGAACTGCAGATGCTGGAGAATCCGAGACAACAAGGTGCAGAGCTGGATGAACACAGCAGGCCAAGCAGCATCATAGGAGCAAAAAGGCTGACGTTTCAGGCCTAGACCCTTCATTGCCTGACGTTAGTTACCTCTGAGAAGGTGATGTTGAGGGGAGTAGGAAGGGGGCAGTTTCCCTGCAGGTTCCTCTGTTGCTGCTGCTGGATCCCTCTAGTGGAACAGGGTGCTTCTACCACCCCATGCCAGACTTTAATGGCTGCAATTAGCCTCCAGGTGGGAAGGCATTATCAAGTTTTCCTACTCAGAACTAAGTCAGAATGCAGTCAGGCAATAGGGTCTCCAGTCTTCACCTTGCTGTCTGGTCACCGCACCTCCACCCCATCCAGATCCATTTATAGAATCAAAGAATCATACAGTACAGGAAATGCCAAGGGTCCATCAAGTCTGAATCGACAAAACACTACTCTAAATCTACACTAGTCCCACTTTCCAGCACTTGACCTTGAATGTTATGATATTTCAAGTGGTCATCCAAGTAATTTTTGAAGGTTGTGAGCATTCTCACCTCAACTACCTTCCCACCAGTACATTCCAGATACCAGCCACCCTCTGGGTGAAAACCTTTGCCTACAAATCCCTCTGAATCTCCTGCCTTTTACCTTAAAACCATGCCCCCTTGTTATTGACCATCATCAACTAATTCAAGCTCAACTGAAAAAAAAACATGCATTTTTGATGAAAATACAGTATTGAAAATTTTGATGGAAGTTGAGGAATTGTGGCACTTTTGAAGATTTTTGCATTCAATATCAGGCCCTATCAATCCTATGTTGCATAAAACATAGCCAAATATGTAGTAACGGTGCACCTATACCTCTCCAACAAACAGATTAAAGTAATGCTATCCAGTATAATGTAATTAATAATTTTATTTAAAATTATTTATCTGGCACTTTAACAATCCTACTATCCCTAATTTCTAAACAAATCTAATGTGAACTTGTAGCTAGTTATACATTGTGTAGCCTGTGACTTCAAACAGTATTTACTTTAAGTCAATTCTCAAAATTCCAACTGTTAATGCAACCTCTTAGCCTGGCAATTTGTGCTGAAATATGGCACTTTTATATTCTGTTCACATGCTGATTGAGTAGCTGGATTCATGACACAAATGTATTTCACGCAACTGTCAGACAAAAAGAAAAATAATAAGACTATAATCTTTCAGTCCAGTCTGGGTTTAAACCTTTATCTCATATTCTCTAAAACCTTTTAATCCAGTTTCTTAAAATGAGATTTTTTAACTTACCAAGACATGAATGAGGTATGAAATTTTAGTGCATTTATAAAGACAAAGTTAATAATACTTGTAAGCTATACAAGACCAAAATGATTGCATGTTAATAGATTAAAAAGGAGAGAAAATTACATCAAGACATGAATGGAATTTTACAAAAGCGTTCATTCATGGGATGCAGGCTTCACTGGTTAGGCTAACATCTATTGTCCATCCCTAAGTGCTGTTGAGAAATAGGTGAGCTGCCTTCTTGAACTGCTACAAGTCTAGAGATGTGACAGTGGTGTTAGGGAGGGAGTTCCAAGATTTTGTCCCTGCAGCAATGAAAGAATGACAATCTAGTTCCAAGTCAGGATGGTATATGACATGGAGGGGAACTTGCAGGATATGGTGTGATTCAATGCATCTGCTGCCCTTGTGCTTGTAGGTGATAGGATTTGAGAGTTTGGAAGGTGCTGTTCAGTGATCCTTGATAAATTGCTGTAGTGCATTGTGTGTGTCAGTAGTGGAGGGAGTGAATGCTTAAGGTAGTAAATGGGGTGCCAATCAAATGGTTCGCTTTGACCTTTGTTTTTTAGAACCATCATTCAAAAATGTGTTTTAAAGCAGTTTTTAAAGGGGAGAAAATCAAGATTTTTTGAGGGACCTCCAGGTAATTGGTTGAGACAGCAGTTTCTCCCATTACTGATGAAATGAAGGACAAGAATGCACAGAAGGCCATACTTGGGTTGAAGTACACAGGCTGAGATATGAAGCTTCAGAATATTGCAAAGGTAGAGAAGGGAGACATCATGGATGGATTTGTAAATGAGGAAAAGGATTTTTAAGTTGATGCTTTAGAGAACAGGGAGCCTAGTAAAGTTTACTGAAGACAGTACTAATGAGAAAATGAACATCCTGTTGGATGAAGGTGGAGGAACTCAACAGGGTGCAAAGAGAGCATTGAAAGACATGATTTAACTAACATGTAGTTTTCAAATCATTACTTATAGATTACACGATTATTCAGTCAGAAACCACACAACACCAGGTTATATTCCAACAGGTTGATTTGGAAACACAAGCTTTTGGAGCCTTACCCTTGTGTTTTCAAATAAACATGTTGGACTCTTACCCAGTGTCATGTGATTTCTGCTTTGTCCACCCCAGTCCAAAACCAGCACCTCTACATCATGATTATTCAGTGTTATAATATTCTGTGGGGTTTTTTTGGTACAGCTTACCACTGTCTTTTATTTTTAAATTAGCATTCACCAATGGAAATGCCAAGAAGCAAAGCTAAATCTCAGAAGTACATCCCTAACATTACTGCAAAGCCAGAAAATATTCTTCAAAGTGTAACAATTACAGACCACTTGAAAGAAAGAACAGACTACGTTTCACCAGAAGCAGACACGGTATTGCTGAAAGGTATGTAATATGTGAATTGCACCTGCACTTTCAGGAGTCAAAAGTCAGAATGTGTTGGTATAATTTGAGGGATGCACACTATCAGATGAATTCACATCCAGTATTCGGATTCTGTTTTAGGCTTCCTTACAAAGCAACTGATCTTCTTTCAAGACAAGGCCATGGTTTTAAATTTAAACCATATTTATTAAATTAAACTGCAGTTACCAGCTGTGACCAGTTTGGGTTAGATGAATTTGAAGATAAATCAGAAGTTCCCAAATTCAGTTTCAGAAAGAATGAACTCAGTGAGCTACTGATCTATATATAAGTGTTGATTCTCCAAGCAGTGAAATTGGCATTTATTTTGATCATAAAATGAGAATATGCCTGATACTGGTGAAAGAAATCACTCGGGTTCATCCAGCATTTTGAGTTCTAATAGTTAGCTAAGGTATTCAGTTGAATTTGTGAGTGACACATTGATTCCTGATACAATTTTATAAAAATATTTGTGTATCTTTGCATGTGTAGGTACTGTATGTAACAATGAGGACTTGCACAAAACATTCTTTTTTAATTATTTAGCTGAAGTCTGAAGCTGCTGTAGTGCATATGATGAGCAACATATTGAGATTGTTGCATTATGTAACCTATAATTGTGCTCTGCTTCTGTGTAGCAATATAATAATGTGTGCTGCATGTCTGCTAAACATGATATTAACATTTCCCTATGTCATTGTTACTTGTAATTATTCCCTTGTATGACCCTGCCACCTTTCTCAGTGATTGTGTTACTATGCTGTATGGTTTACTGCTTGTTCTCCAGCAGCAAATGTTATGATGCTCATTAGCCAGGGCTTTCAAGGCCAGTGATTGCCAAAGTGTACAGTGGACCCCAGAGTTCTGTTGGGATTGGGAATCATATTTAGGTGGGAAATAGTGAGATGAAATGATCTAAGATTCCCTGAATTTTGACCTTGGTTCAATGCTGATTGCAGAAACAAGCAAACATAATTTCTATAAAATCTGGCTCATTTGCCCAGATAGAAAGCTCATGAACCAATGAAATACTGAATTATCGATTTTGTCTCTCCAAATCTGAATGAATGAACCAGAATCAAAGCAGCTAGAAATATAAGCAGAAATTTGAGACAAGAACGTCTACTGAAAACCCCAAAGACACTGTCAGTATGTATATGCAAAACATGCACGCACAGTGGCCTGCCAGTGACATCACTCCGTTCCGCTCATATTTATTGGCTTACTTGGGTGGCGCCATGATTTTACTGGCAGAACATTTCACAAAGTGTGCATGTGCAGAACTTTGCACATGCTCAATGTGAACCTTTCATGGTTGTTAGGTGGCACAGCCTTTTTTGAATCATTTACGAGGTCAGGTAGCATCAGCAGGGTGTTGACATTTTGAGTTGTAATGATAGGTCATAGACCTGAAACCATAACTCTGCTTGTCTCTCCAAATACACTTCCTGACCAGTTAAGTATTTTCAGCACTTTCTGTCTTTATTTCAGATTTCAGCATCCAGCATATTTTGCCTTTATAGAAGAAATCAAAGCCAGTAAGGGCAGTGTCAGGAGAGATGTTTGTAACTTTCAGCTGGTCTGCTACTGGGGTGTGGATTAATTACCTATATCTCTGACATGTTGATGATGAGCTGTATAATGTACAGATATATGTATTACATACCTGGCTTGTATTTTTTATTCCTCGAGCAAATTGACAGAAATACAGCACTGCATTAATTTTGAAAGTTTCTGATCCATTTTTATAAATCCACGAGTTAAAGGGATATGCTCGATTATGTGAGTGAATAACAATAAATAACTTGATAACAAGTTATCAATAACATCAAATAAATCACAAAAAATATACAGTGGCTATTAAAATAAGAAATCCTATATCTCAGACCATTAATTAGGAATTGAGATGTAGTTGGTGATAGAGTAATTTGTAAAACAGTTTGTGCCCATCTGTTTTGCAAACTTGCACATTTAAACTCCAAGTTTCCCTTCTGCAAAATTTTGAAGGTCCACTTACTGTGTGCTTGAACTTTCCCTAGCCTTCTGTTCTTCACTTTCCATTAGCCCCATAAATGAATTGTCATTTGCTGGATCATTCAGTTTCCATAGACTGCTAGATTCTACACTCTGACATCCATCAGTGTCCTGGTCCGCTCCCTGAACTTCACTGACAGCCTTGTACTGTTCACCATTTTAGTTTCCAATCCAGCAAAAAGTTGCAGAAAAGAGAATGTGAAAAGAAACGAAGGAATAGGATGAGAATAAAAATGTAACGAGCTGAGAAAAGAAATGCAATGTTGAGATTTAGCAGGTAATAGGGAAAGCAAAAGGAACGTTAGCCTTCATTTCAAAGTGAATGGAGTATAAAAGTAAGGAGGTTTTGCTAAAATTATACAAGATACTAACCAGACCACAGCTGGAATACTGTGAATGGATTTGGGCCCTTTCTGTAAGGAAAGATATGAATTGGCAAAGGAGGGAGTCCAGAGAAGCTTCACTAGGCTGATACCAGGGTGGAGGGACTGTCTTATGAGAAAAGGTTGAGTAGGTTGGGCCTGTACTCAGTGGAATGTAGAAAAATGAGAAACATACAAGATTTGTATATGATTTGACAGGGTAGATGCAAAGAAGTTGGTTCCCCTTATAGCAGAGTCTAGGACCTGTAGGCATAAAAGTGACCACACATTTAAGACAGAGATGAGGAGTAATTTCTTCTCTGAGAGGGTAGTGAATCTATGTAATTCTTTATCACAGAGGGCCATCAAAGCTGGATCATTAAATATATTCAAGGTTAAGGTACATGGATTTTTAATCAACAAGGAAATCAATAGTTATTGGGAAAAGCTGGATAAGTGGAGTTGAGGATTATCAGATCAACCATGATTTCGTTGAATGATGGAGCAGACTTGATGGGCCCAATAGCCTACTTTCTGCTCCTACATCTTATGGGATTATACAGAGATAGAAATTAAAAGAAGAACTTGAATAAACCATTCAACCAATTAACCTCATATCCCATGCAGGCAAACTCTTAACAAATCTGTATCTCCACTCCATTTAACTACCCTTGATACCGATTTTTAGAAGGAAACAAAAAAATAAACAGAAAGCAGATAAACAAAAGCAGAATGGCAGAGAAAGAGAAACAGAAATGGAGGCAAGAAGAAAAAGAGGAGTGTGAGAGAGAGTGACAGACAGTGACATTTTCAATCTCGAGAATATACTAGAGATGGGGTCGGGGGGAGAATGATTTGCTGTTGAAAAAGTTTGAGAATCATTGCTATTGAATTCCATTATGATGCCTGCACTAAAAGAAAATTGCCAAGCGGTGCCATAACAATCAAATGGTAATATTCGTGAATTTTTCAACTACTACCATAAGAGACTTGGCTTTCTTGTTAGTCATTTGTGTAAACCATGCCTTTAAATCTTTTCTTTAGCCAAAAGCCTTCCTTTAGATCTTGAAAAAATGGATTTGTCTGACAAACATGACTATGAATATATTGATGACAATAAAGTCGAAGACTTAAGGAAGCAATTGAACGAAAATGACCATCAAAACAGGAAAAACTGCAAGAAGAAGAGAGGTGAGGTTAACGCTTTTGTCTTCAAATTAGATGAATAGTTTGCCTTTGAAACAGAAATATAATTTGTATCAACTTAGCTGTCAGAGTAATAGTGAAGCTAATGATGCTTACCATCGCGTGTACATAGTACAGCAGCATCAGTCAAGGGAATGTAAAACGGGAAAGTCCAAAAGTTGCTGTCCAAGATTCATCACGACACAATTACCTTCATATAACGATACTTTGCTCTGCAATGAAAAAAGGAAGACTCTTGTCGTTTCAAACATAGGTTACAAATTTAATGTCCTGTTAAGTGCTCATTGCCGCAAGTCACACCCTCAAGTTCTGAAACTGGTGTACTACAAGAGTGAATCCAATTGCATCAAGTTTTCATTTTTGTTAGCAATATTAAAATTATACATAGTTGCTTATCCTGGTTTTTCAGAACCCAGAGGTTCTGTTTTGCTCACCTTGACATTATCAATTTACACTTTCATCAAATTGCAGAGCACAATATTCTAAAACCCTAATGTGCATAATCACTGTTAACATAAGGCCCGCTTAGAAACCCTCATAAAGAAATTTATGCCCAGTGTCTCAGCTTCTAACCTAATAGTTGGTGATTTTGAGTGACCGGTAGTTCTATACAGCTGAAGTTAGTTTTATTGCTTTTAACATGAGGGAGATTGAGCTGGGTGGGCAGTTATTCAGGTTGAGCAATCATCTAACATCATGGGCAGCAGTTGTTGCAGTCAGTGGCTAAAAGCATCCCATCCTGTCTGCTCTCAGGGTCTGAGATCATGCTGTGGCAAATTAGTAACAAACACATTAATGGACTCATTAAAGTCCACTTCAGCGAAGACATGTACCAGCTGGGTACCTTTGTTATGAATGTTGCACAGCATGAGTTCAGCCTTGTGCATCAGTGCATACATTTTGTGAGAAGGGAATGTACAAGGTACTTAGTAAGTAACTATAGTCACAATTTGGAAATCAGCCCAAAAATAGAAATGACAGAGGTGACTGTTTTGGGCACTTGATTCTGAACACTAATCTTTATGACAATCCAAAGAGCTTCTACAAGTACATTAAGAGCAAAAGAGCTACTAGAGAGAGAGAATAGGGTCCCTTAAAGGGATTATTGACTCAACGAGGTCATCTATGTTGTGAACCTCAGGAGATGGGGGAGATACTAAATGAATATTTCATGTCAGTTTTTACTGTGGAGAAAGAAATGGAGACTAAGGAATTTGGGGAAACAAATATTGATGTTTTGAAAACAGTTGGCATTACAGAAGAGGAAGTGCTGGAGGTCTTAGAGAACATAAAGGTGGATAAATCTCCAATTCCTGATCAAGAGTTTCCCAGGACGTTGTGAGAAATTAGGGAAGAAGTTGCAGGGACACCCTAGCAGAAATATTTATATCATCTATAATCACGGGTGAGGTGCTGGAGGACCAGAAGGTGGCTAATGTTGTGCCTTTATTTAAGAAAGGCTGTAAGGAGAAGCCTGGGAACTATAGACTGGTGAGCCTGACATCGGTAGTTGGTAAGTTGATGGAGATGTCTCTGAAAGATAGGATTAACATGCATTTGATGAGGCAAGCACTGATTAGGATAGTCAGCATGGCTTTGTGGATGGGAAATTGTGTCTCACAACCTTGTTTGAGTTTTTTAATGAAGTAACCAAGAAGATTGATGATGGCAGAGCGGTAGATGTTGTTTATTTGGACTTTAGTAAAGCCTTTGACAAACTTCCACATGGTAGACAAACTGGTAAAGTTAGATCAAATGGATTTAGGTTGAGCTTGCCAATTGGGTACAAAATTGGCTTTATGGTAGGAGATAGAGGGTGGTGGTGGAGGGTTTTTTTTTTTGAACTGGAGGCCTGTGACCAGTGATGTTCCACAGGGTTGGGTCCACTTTTGTTTGTCATTTTATAAATGATTTGGATGAGAATGTAGGAGGCATGGTTCGTAAGTTTGTGGATGACACCATAGTTGGTGGTATAGTGGACAGTGAAGAAGGTTATCTAAGATTATAAAGGGGTCTTGATCAATTGGATCAATGGACTGAGGACTGACAGTTGGAGTTTAATTTGGATAAATGCGAGGTATTGCAAACAAGGGCAGGAGTTGTACAATTAATGTGTTGTAGTGTTGTAGAGCAGAGAGACTGAGAAGTCCAGGTACATAATTCTTTGAATTTTGCTTCACAGATAGACAGGGTGTTTAAGAAGGTGTTTAGCGCACTTGCCTTCATTGCTCAGACCTTTTGAGTATAGGAGCTGGGAGTCATGTTGAGATTGTACAGGATGTTGGTGAGGCCTCTTCCTGTGTGCAGTTCTGGTCACTTTGCTTTAGGAAGCACATTATTTAATTGGAGAGGGTTCTGAAAAGATTTACCGGGATGTTGCTGGGAATGGAACGTTTGAGATATAAAACTGCGACTTTTTTTTACTGGAGTGTAGGAGGTTGAGGGGTTACCTTATTGAGATTTATAAAATCATGAGGGGCATAGATAGGGTGAATAGCAGGGGTCTTTTCCCTAGAGTAGGGGAGTTCAAAATGGGATGGCATATTTTTAAGGTGAGAGGAGAAAGTTTTAAAAAGGAAATGAGGGGCAACGGTTTTACACAGAGAGTGGTTCATGTGTGGAATGAACAACCAAAGGAAGTGGTAGATACAGGTACGGTTACAATATTTAAAAGACATTTGGATCAGTACATGAATAAGAAAAGTTTGGAGGGATATAGATCAAATGCAGACAGGTGAGACTAGTTTAGTTTGGGAACGTGGTCAGTGTGGATAGGTTGGACCAATGAGTCTGTTTCCATGCTGTATGACTCTTAAAAGACAGAGAATGAGTTGGTGAGAAGCTGCCAGCACAGGGAAAAACTAGCAAAGCTAAGGACGGGGGTTTCTGCTGAATTTAGTAGCAGGAGCTTATTTTAAAAAGAGGTTCCTGATCCTCCTGACAGCAGCTCAAAGTTACAGGCCACTTGCTGGGTAGAAAAACAACAGGGGACCACAAACGAAGACGTTTGGGTTTGATGCCTGGCAATCAGGAGGGGAAGGAAGCAACAGATCAGGGCTTGGGGAAAGAGGAGGTGTTCGGGTCACAGAAGGTGAGCATATTTACTACATACAGTCAGTTATTGGGACTTGGATAGAATTAGGGTTGTCTGGGTGGTAAAGCAGCCTCAATTACCAGTGGGAGGTTAGAGGTTAAAGGTTTCCTTGTGGTACTGGAAGGGCATTTCTGCCTCCCCTGGCCCTCCGTGTAGTTCCTTTCATGAACAGGAACTGTATTTCCCTTTCACTGGCTCTGTAAAACCTGACTGGCAACAGTTCAGATAAATTGCTCACTGGGAACTTGTCTTAAATAAGCCTTTCCAAGACAGGAGCTTTGCATAGTTCAAATCACACCATTGCAGTAATGGTAATGGGCACATATTCTGAATAATGAGTTGTGTTCCCTATCTTTTAAAGTTTCATTTCCCTTCCCATCCTCCTCCTACCTGTAGTGGGAGATTGCAAGAAGTATGGAATGCAGGAGAAAGGTCATAGCTTGAAGCCAGCACATGAAATGAGGTTTGCAATGGTATCATTGTACAAAGGGAAGTTGTATTAATGGAAAGAAATAAATTTGTTTCTCACTTATTCTCCGTGTTCCTCCAATCAAGATAAAACAGTTTAACAATTCATTCCAAGTCTTCTGAGTGGTTACTGTGCAGCCTAGATCGCTACGGATTGAAATTGTTACACAAAACAAAGAACAATACAGCACAGGAACAGGCCCTTCAGCCCTCCAAGCCCGCAGTGATACATTTTGGCCTTCCATACTAAAACTGTCTTCAATTACAGGATCCATATCCCCCTATTCCCTTCCTATTCATGTATTCACCCAGGTGCTTCTTGAATGCTGCCATTGTGTCTGCTTCCACCACCTCCTCTGGCAGCGTGTTCCAGGCACTCACCATCCTTCATGTGAAAAACATGCCTTGTGCATCTGTTTTAAACTCATCCCACCTTGCACCCTGAATCTGTCTCCCCTAGTAATTGACCCCTCCACCCTGAGAAAAAGTGTCATACTTTCCACTCTATCCATGCCATTCAAAACCTTATAAACTTCTATCAGGTCGCCTCTCAGCCTCCTGCGTTCCAGTGAAAACAAGCCCAGTCTATTCAACCTTTCTTCATAGCTAAAATCCCTCATACTGGGTAGCACCCTGGTAAACTTTTTCTGCACCCATCCTGGGTGCTGTTGTTGTATCGCAGTTGCCATAAAGGGACAATGCTCAGTCCAAAAAACAACCCTCCACCACCACCACCCTCTACAGTGTCATAGAGTCATACAGCACAGAAACAGACCCTTCAGTCCAACCAGTCCATGCTGAACATAATCCCAAACTAAACTAGTCCTACCTGCCCGCTCCTGGCCCATATCCCTCCAAACCTTTCCTAGAATTAGATCAAAATGTTTTGTGCACCTCAGCTTAAAATAACTGATAAGCAAATCATTGTTGGCTGTGTCAGGTTAAATGTACAATATGGGTATTATCATTGGGTCCATTACGTCAGAAAATATCTTTGCTCAAAGGCAGACCTGTCAGACACAAAGACAGCAGCCTTGGCATTTTCTGATGATTGCCTTTAAAACTCCTTCAGCTACAATGCAGCCCCAACCTCCTGCCATGTAGCCCCTTGTTTGCTAGAATGCAGGCACACTGGGTAACAGTGTCAAAATCGCTGTATTTTTGTAAGACCTACCACTAATTGGCTCCCAATTAGTTTGATTGGATTCCTGCTACTGTAAGGATTTTGTCAACACATTTACGTGCTCACCTCAATGAGGGAGGTGCATATCGCGTAGCCAGTTTGATTATTTTGTTTCAATTAATTTTCCCGCTTTCCCCCTTCTACGCTATCATGAACCCAACTGCTGACCTGTTTTTGATATCTCCTGGCCGATAGCATCTCCAACAGAGAACAAAGCCTGTCATTCAGGGTTGGTTCCAGATGAGGAAACTGCCTGCATGTCAAAGTCAAATGCTATGACCTTCAAACAGCAAAGCAAAGGGCAAGTAGGATTACAGAATTTCCCAAACAAAACGACTGCAACTTTCAATCTCCTTTCATCTCAAAATCCACACAAGTTCATGGTTGGCGCTAATGTCTTAAAATGGCTACTTTAAGTGCTCTAACATAAATTGGGCAGTGACCAAAAGTGAAGTGTCAGGAACTGCCCCAGTTTGTATTTGGTTGTTATGCATTGAAAAGCAACTCCTAACTTGTAAAGATATGTTTTATGAATGACCTTTCAAAGAAAAATTTTCCTATACAGCAATGAGAAATAGGAGATCCTCAACTGTCCTTTAATGTATAGCCCTGATAATTTCTCCACTCCCCATTTTAGCCACTGCAGTCCTTGCCTATGTCTTGCAGTCAGGCCAAAAATGGGTTGAGATAAATATCTATCACAATCTGTACAGTCTGTTCTGATTTAATCTTCTATTTGTATCTCAATTTTAGACAGCCATTAAGGAGAATGAACATGAAAAATGTCTTCAAGAACTCAAGCAGGCATCTGGTTGTGAAAAAAGCAGTCTTCTGGCTAAAGTTTTACATTATTTTTTCCCTCCAGAACCCAAATTTGTAAAGTTTGATTAAATTTCTGTTGAACTTAGAACTACTGAAACTGCCTGGAACAAATATTTTAGTTCACATTTTAACATCAGATAATGGTTGTGTTCCTGGAGATGAAATGTTGCTCTACCGTAGGGGAACAGATTTATTAATTTTTGCTTTTTTTTAATTCTTAGAATTTCCATATTTTGTATGATCCAAAAGCATTGGAAGTAATTGGAATTCTCACAAATATGATGTGGATTTTACCAAACAGTATTGGTTGCAATGGATGTTTATATATCTTGGGATTAATTTATTCACTTCTATTTGGCAATACTGAAGTATTTATTTTGCTTGTATAAACATGACCTAAAAGATAAGAATCAACATTGAGATGTTACAGAATTTGTATTTCTTATTAAATTGAAACATTACCAGTGTTTGCAGATGTATGAATAATGTTAGCATTAATTTTTTAAAAGCAATTAAATTTAAACCATTTTTATGACATCAAACCAGTCACCAACATCCATGTTAAAAAAAAATTCTGTGTTTCCATAATATAGCATCCTCGATGATTGTGGATTTTTTCCATTGTTGTTGAGTAGATGGTGTTACCAGGTAATTGATTTTATTTTTTAAAAATTATTTCTGTTTGTCCCATTTCCAAACCTGCTGTGTCACTCTCCTGCAACTCTCTCTTCTGCTCCGGCATTCTGCACACTAGTGCTTCAGCTGTCTCAACCTGACGTCTCTGTCTAACACCAATCCTCTAAACTGTTATTACATTTGGCGGCCCCAGCCGGTTGAGCTTTGCCTCACAAAGAAATTCACTGGGTACCTCCCCTCAATCTTTAGCATAAAATGAATAAAATTAAACCTGAAGAGAAATGTAAAATAGTGTCGCAGAAACAGATTTCAAATGATAATATGGAGTGAGAGTCAAAGAAGAAAGCAACAAAGCAAAGTGAATTGAAAATATACTAAATATAGAAAGGGAGAGTTGCATTTGTGTAGTCCATTACACATCCTCAGCTCATTGCAAAATAATTCATGGCCAATGAAATGTAATCAGTTTGTGTTTTGCAGGCAAATGTATTCTCTAGTTTGCAGAAAAACAGCGCTGAGATAAATTACCAGTTATTTAAGAGATAAAGGTTGGCTGTCATTCTGGGAGAGCTCTGTGCTCTTATTCAAGTGGTACCATGATAACTTTTACAGAACTGAGTTGAATATCTAAACTGACATGATATTTTTATGCCAGGTTTTCGATAACTCTGTCCTTGTACACTACGGGAACACATTCTGAGACCCTTGCTTAAGTATTGTTGTTCTGCTTCCCATAGAAACTACTAACATCAAAGAATTAAACTTCCCAAATGATCCAGAAGGAGAAACCCAATAAGCATGGTTTCACTTTTTAAAACTTTTCTTCTCACCGTCTAACCCAAAATCAAAATAAATTAAACAATGAATTAACTGTTGAATAGCAGATACAGCTTTCACTGATTTACTTGAAAATCCGCACAAGCCTACATGCCATTGATTTCAGCCACAAAGTCCTTAAAAGCTCTGAATTTTCTCTGGTTAGTGCACCAGCACCTTTTCTTTGAAGATTTAAATGATCAGCAGCACCAACCAGACAACTCAGGATTCACAAGCGTTGTGTTCATCAAAATGGGACACACCATAGAGCTCCTCAGTTCTACTCATACCAGTCTTGCTGGCATGGATCCATCAATTTTATCTGCATTAACAGAAACAAATATAGCAACTGTCTGTTGCCTATTTCAGCTCCTGCATCCACCCTCCATTTTCTTCAGTCCGCATGTATGACATTTCTGTTTCAGTTTTAATATTCCTAAAAGCATGACTCAGTTTATCTTTTGGTTTGCTAATGTTTGAGTAAAGAGTCTACATTGATTGATTGATTGATTTATTGTCTTGCGTACCGAAATACAGTGAAAAGCTTTGTTTATGAGTGGTACAGGCAGATGCTAGTAAGCAAAGAATGTACAGATTGAAAAGACTTAGCAGAGACATACAGGTTATATTGCACAGGGCATGCGCTAGGCTCAATCAACATTAGCAAGATCAGTGTAATTTGAGGCGAGTGAGTCCATTCTACAGTCTGATAATGGCTAGGAAGAAGCTGTTCCTGAACCTGCTTGTGCGTGTGTTCAGGTTTCTGTATCTTCTGCCTGACAGAAGAGGTTGTAGGAAGTCAATACCAGGGTACAATGGGTCTTTGATGATGTTGGCCACCTTTCCACGGCAGCGAGCCATGTAGATAGAGTCCAGGGATGGAAAGTTGGCTTCCGTGATGGTCTGGGCTGTGCACACAACCTTCTGTAGTTTCTTACGGTCCAGGGCAGAGCAGTTGCCATACCAGGCTGTTATGCACCCGGACAATATACTTTCTGTGGTGCATCTGTATAAGTTGGTGAGGGACCTTATGGACATACCCAATTTCCTGAGCTGCCTGAGGAAGAAGAGGCATTATTGTACCTTTTTGACCATTGCATCTACGTGGGAAGTCCAGGACAGGTTGTTGGTTATCGTCACTCAGACAAACTTGATGCTCTTCACCCTCTCAATCTCAGTTCCGTTGATGTAGATGAGGACATGTTCCCTCCCTTTCTTTCTGAAGTCAATGATTAGTTCTTTAGATATGCCAGCATTGAGAGACAGATTGTTTTCATTGCACCATGTCACCAAGCCCTCTATCTCCCTTCTGTCGTTTGACTTGTCGTTGTTAGATATCCATCCCACTACGATGGTGTCATTAGCAAACTTGTAGATGGCGTTTGTTCAGAATTTGGCAACACAGTTGTGGGTGAACAGGGAATACAGTAGGGGGCTGACAACGCATCCTTTGGGGTCTCCAGTGTTGAGTGTTATTGTAGAGGAGGCAGTTATCCATCCTTACTGATTGCGGCCGATGGGTCAGAAAGCTGAGGATCCAGTTGCAGAGGGCGGAGCCGAGACCAAGGTCTCACAGTTTTGAGATGAAACTGGAGGAGATAATGGTGTTGAAGGTGGAGCTGTAGTCAATGAGCAGGAGTCTGATGTAGGTGTCTTTGTTGTCCAGATGTTCCAGGGATGAGTGCAGTATATCAACAAATGCCAGCGTTGAAACTATGGTCATTTAAGACGACAACTTGCAAGTTACGGATTTTAGCACATTAGGCAGTTAATCACAAAATGCATGATGCATGCCCATACTTCTTCATCCATTAGGTGGCAACATTGCCTTTGAGGAAAAAAGACCGATGATTCACATCTCAGTCTGAAAGAAGAGTGACATTGGACTTGAAATGTTAACTCTGTTTCTCTCTCCACAGATGCTGCTAGACCTGCTGAGTTTCTCCAGCATTTTCTGTTTTTTTCAGACTTACGACATCCGCAGCAGGTTGCATCAGCTGTGTATTCTGATGGTGTGGTAATATAATTCAGTATTCAGTTTGATTTTGTAATTGCTGCTGTGCAATGACTGGGTATTGTTAATGCTGAGTCTGTTATCATTCCAAACAACGTCCTTTTCAAGTTCAGCACATACAGTGAGCATGTCCCCTATTTTCATTTCAAATCAACCCTACAGTTAGCTGTATTTAATTTCATTTGCTATTGATCTTTATTCGGGCAAAATGGTTGTAATCAAGGATTGTTTGTCAGAGTAGATAATTCGCAACAGTCAATTCAACACAACTTGCATTTATAAGTCATCTTTTACAGGTTTATGAATCAATTTGTTAAACCTCCTATGCATTTCACAGGTGCATTATCAAACAGAATTTGACACTGAGCCATACACAGATTAGGATTGGCAGTCAAAAGTTTTGTCAATGAGTCTTAAAGTAGGAATAAGAGGTGAAAGTACGTGACTTTTAGGACTTATTTAAGACAATCCTGGGATGAAACCAAGTGAATTGGAAGGTCAAGGAGTGCTGAAGGGCTTGCTGGGGATATTTGGGTCAGCGTACCCAAGATGGGTACTTTGGAAGAAGTTATGATGACAGGAGAAGAGGGAGTAAAAGTGAATAATTTAGGCCATTGTTGTTTAGGAGTATGCTTTTAAAATTAATGGTATATGTTGTTTAAAAAAAAGTCTATTTTCTGTCTTGTGCCTTGATACATTGCATCTGCCAAATGGAACAAGTAAGTTCTAAATTATATCTTTTGCTAAATGTCATTAAGTGCACATAGTGAATCACATTCATTGACAGTATGTCATTTTATAACCTGTTATCTGTTGATAAATTCTCATCTAATTTTCAGTAACAGCCTTTCAGTTTCTCTCTGATATCCCTATGCAATATTTTCACTGCTGGATCCCAATGATCATTTTAACAGCCATTTCCTATGCACATGCACTGTAAGCAATTTTCTCACCACTTCAGGTTAACTGCAAATTATGTAGCTGACAGTTTTCAGAATTTTAAAGGAAGTTCCACAGAAAGGATTTTAAGTGTTAGTTTAAGTATAAACCAAACTGTAATCTCATGAGTTGTAAAGAAGAAACTGAGATAATAGATGATTTAAGTACCAACAAGTTAAGCTTTGATGTTTCTCAATAGACTAAGTAATAAGCTGTTTCTTAGCCTCTTTCAATTGATGATTTAAAAAAAAGTCACCATTGCATTGAGAAGTTTATCTTTGTCTAACTGAGCAAGAAGAGGTTTTTAAAAAAGATAGAGAGGCAGATTTGTAGTTAAGTGCAGCAAAAACTGCAAATTTAGTCACATCTTCAAATAGCAACGCATGAGTTCATGCTTTGAACAAGCTCAGAACTGCATGGAGGTGAGTGGTTAGGAATTGTTTTTATATGTGACAAGCCACTGACAGGGGTGTGATGGGAAAAAAAGAACTGTTTATTTGTACATTCACATCGTCGGAAATAAAGTGGCTTAAATGGTGGCCTCATCAATTTTTTTTAGTCCATCTTTGAAGAGATTAAAGAAGTATCTCCTAACGTTGAAGATTAGCCACTGACGGTGTGAAGCGTTGCTAATGTACCCAACATCATATAATAAGGCAATTATTATCGTGTGGAAAGAGGCT